CTAATTGCAAGAGGCTTTATCGCCAAGGTACCTAAAAAGTTACGAAAGTTGAAGACCGAAATTCAGTAGAGTATTTTTTCGCAAGGCTTTCAGTTTCTCCCTATTAATACGGAGATCGGAAGATTAGGTTTTGATGCAGCCAATCAAGATTGTACAGGCACATGACATATAAATGCATAATACACGTGATACCGCATATGCAATGTTGTAATGCTTGTGGCCAATAAAAAATACCTTGAATTTTTGAGTCGTAATGGTAAATTGCAATGCAACAATTTGAATTGTTTGACCCGCCTTCGGATGCTATATCATCAGTTGTATTTAGCCCCACTAGCCCCATTCACCTTCTGGTGTCTTCGTGGGACAAAGTAATTATATTCTCTTTACTCTTTATGTTTTTTTCAGTATTAATTTTTTTTTTTTTTTCAATTATTGTAGACTATTAAATTGTATAACGTTGAAGAAAACTCGCTTCGAGGGTCGTATAATCATAATGCGGAAGTTCTTGACTGTTGTATGTCCGATGAAACTCACGTGTACAGTGGTGGGTTAGATAATTGTATAAAGAGGTATCTATTTGTCTCTAACTTTCCGTGTTCGTTTTTTTTTCACTCTATTTCATCGTTCTTTAATTTATGAAGTTTCGATGTCAATACGCATAATGGATTTGTTGTGGGATCACATGAAAGTGCTGTTAAATGCGTAGAATATAGTATTGAAAACAGTAAGTAATATATCTGTTTTCCAATCGTATTTTTTTTGTCATTTAATGATCCTTTTTCATATATTTTAGATCTGATTGTATCTGGTTCGTGGGATCAAACGGTTCGGACATGGGACGTTCGCGATAAAGACTCACAAACCGGAGTATATAAAATGGAAAATTCTGCCAAAGTTTTTGCGATATCTCTGGTCTCTTATAGATTAGTAGTTGCCACAGCCTCAAGACAATTTTATATTTATGATATAAGAAACATGTCTGAAATCCTTCAGAGTAGAGAAAGCAGCTTAAAGTTTATGACTAGGTGCGTTAAATGCATGCCTAATAAACAAGGTAAAAAGGATCAAACCTTTTATTCTGTCTATTAAGAATTACGTTGACTTTAACGCTTTGTAGGATACGCGTGTAGTTCAATCGAAGGACGCGTAGCTGTCGAGTTTTTTGATCCATCACCTGAAGTACAAGCGCGTAAATACGCTTTCAAATGCCATCGGAAGATGATTGATGGAGTTGATACGGTTTATCCTGTCAATGCACTTGCTTTCCATCCAACGTACGTACGTGATATAATGCCTTTGATTTGTTGATCTTTAACAATATTAACGCATTTTAATAATAGACTTGGCACTTTTGCCTCTGGAGGTGCTGATGGTGTCGTGAATATTTGGGATGGATTCAATAAAAAACGTCTTCGACAGTATCCGCAATACCCAACTAGCATTGCCAGCTTGGATTTTAATAAGGATGGTCAGTATTTGGCAATTGCGAGTAGTTACACATTTGAAGAGGGTGAAAAAGATCATCCACCGGATTCTGTTTTTATAAGGCACATTAGTGAGAATGAATGTAAACCAAGACATTTGACTCCACTTCCTTAAATAATTGTTGTTCGGGAAGGTATTAAATGTAATAATATGAACTTTTCCTAATTTTTCTCTGACCAATAAAGTAATATTTCACGGACACAATACGATTAATGTAACTGTGTGATTTTCATTAATACCTTAAGTCGCTATATAAATCACCCGAGCTATATCCTGAGGATTACATTGCAGGGAAAAGGATGGTTCAGTCAGACCTCCTATATGTAACTCACAGGGATCAAACTTCTAACAACATGCATTTAGACAAAAAAAAAAAAAGCATTTAGAGAGATC